TCCTGACTTTCGTACGTTTTCAAGGTGCTTCGCTCTTCTTCTGTGTAAACATGGCTCACGTCTGCGGGCTGGTAATCTCGACCCTATAAATAAAAACAAAGAAGATTCGTTGAACAACGTTCGTTTTTCAACATGTTACTTCTGCTGTTCATGACAGCATAAATTGTATAATCCTTATATATTCATAAATTTGTTGTATATTGATGCTGGACTCAAATAAGGCGACGAACAATTATATATATAAATATATACAAATATCTTTATTGTTGGGTAAAACGGATAATCACAGAGGTTAGGATTGCGCACACAAGAATTGATAGAGACAAATTTTCAGTGAAACTATAGTCAGCCTCTCTTACAGGCCAAGAGTTGGACCGTTTTTATAACATTTGGACACCCAGGCAACTTCTTGTGGCCACACCTCTTCCGACATGCGCCCTCACATGCACGCATCACATTCCACTCAGGACACCCGTGCATCCTATATATTCAAGGCTCAGGATGCCTGTGCGTCATGTTTATTTTAACCACCGGATGCATTTCCTGTTTATGCTTTCACTCATTCCGATTTTCACTCACTCTCTGATGCAGCGGAAGTGAGGTCAATGGTATTTCCTCAACCTATATCCAACAATATTATTTCCATTGATCGGTAGAACCACATCTCTTTTGCTTCAAGCCTCTTTATCTATGAGGAGATTGTCCAACATTCGCTGCCATAGAGAAAATAAGATACAGTGGGCTACGTGGGCTTTTTAGCCACCCTTGATTACAGCATTTTTTGTTTGTGTAATAATGTCTCTTCTTTCTTCAGACAATACCGTGTTAGTAACAAGCTACTCTCATCTATGAACAATAGTTGACATATTTTGCAATGAAAGTTCGGAGAAGTAAGGAAATTAGTGAATTTCAACAAGGGCAATTAATAGGATGGCATCAGTGTGGGAGTCAAATAGAGAAATTGCTAGGTTTCTCCCAGGTTAATCATCAAAGGGTTAATAATATTGTCAAGGAATTTAATGAAGAAGGCCATTGTCGTGTGGAACAACGTACAGGAAAACCAAGCATCATGTCTGAGTGAACTGAAAGGGCGCTGAAGAGGGAAGTCATCAGAAACCGTTGTGAGAGTGTCAAAGATGTCGCCAACAGCATCGAAATGTCGCCATATGCGGTGAGAAAGACTCTGAAAGAGTTAGGGTATCAAAGAAGAGTTGCAAGAAAGAAGCCCTTGATTTCAGAGGTTAACAGGTACAGGCGTATGGACTGGGCGAAGCAATTAAATAGAAAAATTATGAATTATGGCAATATATAATTTGATCAGATTAAAGTAAATTTTCCAATATTCGAATTCGAGATAGGTTTATGTTTGGAGAAATCATAATGAGACTTGGAACACTGAATGTCTGCAGGCGACTCTGAAACATAGAGGGATTGGAGTAATGTTGTGGGGCGCTGTCTGGTTTGGAGGAAAATCTGAGCTGATTCTTGTTGACAAACGGTTGAAAGGTCCAAAATACTGTCAAATATTAGAGAAAGGACTACTCCCTCAATTTGAAACCAATCAGATTGACAAGAATGTCTACCTTTTTCAAGAAGATGGAGCGCCATGTCATACGCAAAGGGCAGCAAACGCCTGGATGGAATGAATCAAGTCACTGCCATTGGTAGCCCAAGATCCTGACATGAATCCAATAGAGCATGTTTGGGAGCACCTTGACCGAAGACTTCGAGAGAGTAGCAACCCTTAATGAAACATTGCTAAAGGACTGGCAAAATATGGATCAGACAATTGTTGATAACTTGATCAAATCCATGAAAAATCGAATACAAGCACTGAAACTAGCAAATGGAGGACCTACTCCATACTAGTTCCAAATACTGTTTGTTTATGTTGAGTTGGGATTACGCTATTAAATTTTGATATTGGATGTAGTTTATTTCTCCTGGCTAAAAACTTTTCTTAAGCCACTGTATTCCATAGCAGTTCGGTAGATTTTTCTTTGTTTCTTAAGACATGTTACGATCCCTTAAAATTTTGCATTCCTCTGTAGAACCACATCTCTTCTGCTTCAAGCCTCTTCTTCATCAATGAGAAAATTGTCCAATATTCTATGCCATATAAGGGGTTAGATAACACATAAAAGCAAAAACTCTTCGTCAAGATATTATTTATTTGAGAGTGCTGAACTGTATTATGAATGCTGACACAATCTTATCACACATAAAGAAGAGACGCGAAACAAAAGTTACGTTGTTCTACAGAAGGATGCTGAGAATACCAATCAAACATTAAAGGCCGATTTATTGCCCAGTATACGGGTCTGTGTTAAAATGATTTTTTAATCAGTTTCACCCCATGCAAGGCAGTAAAGCCACTAAGGCACAAGTAGTTACTGGGTGTAAATGAATTAGGAACAGAAACATTAATAGAAAAGAGTGATCAGGAGGACAGTAGATATCGATTGACATTGCATTTAATTTCTTCGCAGATTGGAGTTGGGTGGGAAGTATGGAGTCAGAAGGGAGTTCCACATGCGAGAAGTGCGAGAAAAGCAACTGTTAGCATAGAATTTACGATTACATCTATCCAACTCAACTGTAAATTAATGATGTCACGACGCCCGTAAAGTAATGCGCTTAAATTCAAAAAATCTACGTAACACAGTAAAGAGTTCATCTGAAAAATTACCATGAAATTATTTATAGAAAAAGTCACAGGAGCAGTGGCAAACTTACGGCGGTGCGAAAGTGACTGAAGCCGATCCGTTAAGTCGGTACTTAAAATTGCGGCTTTTTTTGTGTGGATTTTATACTGCAACCTGAGCCAAGTGAAAGGTGCGTTATATTGGACCAAGAGAACACCTACCCTCAGCTTCCCTCTACGTTTCGACTTGACTGCTTCCTTCAGTTGCCTTACTTCTGATGCATTGTACTGTCCATTAATGTCTTTTCCCTTCCCCAGGTAAAATCTGTCAGGATTACACCTTCAGAATACGCAAAAAAACAGAAGCTGTCAACTTGCTAGCAGACGCTGCCTGCTTGAACTTCAGAAATGGAAAACCAGAGTGTTTCCATTGTTTTGAGTCTTTGTTTCACGTTCAAAGTAGGGAATCAAGGTTTCATCTTGAGTTACTAAACTGCGGTAAAAATTCTCATGATTAACCAGAAGTGTCCTAAAAATGTCAACCCTTTTCAGCTTCTGCTCTGCTGTTAACATTCTTGGGATCCATCTTGCAGAAAACTTGCTCATCCCCAAGATCTCAGTTAAAACAGTGTGGACCAGACCAGAACTAATGCCTTTAGCTATCTGCTCAATAGTAAGACGTCTGTCATCCAAAATCATACGGTGAATGGTATCAACTTGCTCATAAGTTGTTGAGGCTTTTGGACTACCTGACCGAAGGTCATTTTCTGTGTTGTCTTTGCCTTGCTTGAATTCCACAACCCACATCTTCACAGTTGCGTATGAAGAAGAGTCCTCATCAAGTATCAGTACCATGTCCGTATGGATTTCTTTGGGTGTTATACCTTACTTTTCAGATGCTTTATAACTTCTCGGGCCTCAGTTTTGTCCATTTTTAGATTTGTCACACATCTCTAACTCTTTTATGCCTCAGCTGCACAAAAATTAAGACAGAATACTGAATTAGTTTTTCTTTTTTTCTCAGAATTGGTAGTGTGTTGTCATAACAAAAATGTTCAGCAATGGTTCTTCTTTCTGGGTGAGGCTCAGAACATTTTGAAAGAACCTAGTATTTTATATTTAGTCTCTGTCGACTTCGATATTGAGCTAAGAATTGGCTTGAATAAGGATTTTAAACCATTGGACATCATTTTCTAGACAATCCCGATTATAATGGCGTATTTGTTTTTCATCTTACATAGTACTCGCTTGGTTCACCATCTCCGAGTCATTGAGGTTGTTTACATTAAATTTCATCAGCCGACGGATTATGAGTGACTTTTTTCCATTTTATACTCTTTTTAGAACTTCGCATTTTTTTATTCATTAATTTATTTATAATTAAAATCTATTTTGTGTTCCAATTTTCCCTCCTCATTCGTTATTTATTAATCTATCTTCGATTGCTTCCGCCATCACCATCTATTACCTTTTGAAAAAGTGCTGACCGAAAGGGTTCTAAAGGTAGAATAAAGACGTCCATTTTATTTAAATCTATTTTCTTTTTCTGTGTGTACAAGTCTTTGTTTATATATATATATATATATATATATATATATATATATATATATATTGTAGTAATTTACAATTTCTATTGTTGTAAGTGTTTTTCCGTGGACGTGACATCCAATATTAAGAGCAATGTCTCAGAAGACTTCAAAATATATTTTTTTTACTGCAGTTCGATCCTTTTTTTAAATTATGAAATAGTGCCGCTTAATTAATATTGTAAATTAGTTATTCAAAGAATAAATCAATAAAGTTAATGTAATTGATGACGAACTCGCTTCACTAACAGATTATAAGGCATTAACTGACTGTCCACTTGAACGGCGCGATCCTTGTTTTTATTAATTGTACAATAGATTAGAAGATCGGTCCATATTGTTTGCAAGTACTTTCGATAAAAACATTTACTATCCTCAGGCATAGATGTTATTTTTTTTCTCAATTTCAGGTAATTTCGGGTAAAATTCCAAGATGAAACTCATGTGATATCGATCTGCGGAATAAAAAAAATTCTGAAAACCTGAGACATTGCTCTAATTATTGGATCAATAGTACATGCCACGTCAACGGAAAAAACACTTGCAATATATATATATATATATATATATATATATATATTTATTTATATATATATATATATATATATATATATATATATACAAGATATATATATATATATATAAGATATATATATATATAAGACCCTTGTGTATTTAATGTATGAATACATTGAATATAAGTGAATATATATAAGATTACAAACACATTTGTTTTATATATTTCATTATTATACAATATGTATATACGTATGTATTTAACCGTGTCGACTCCTCTGTGGAGTTTACAGTCACATTCTCCCTACCGTAGGTGTTACTGCTCTGTTTATTTACCTTGTAAAACATTTACTATCCTCAGGCATAGATGTTATTTTTTATGTAGGGCCCTTTACGGAGTTGAATTGCTAGAAAGTGTTATCTTTTTCTTCGATTGGATGCCAATTATTTAACCCATAGCTGGGAGTAAAAGAAAATGAATTCATACCTTTCCGAATTTATTTGTGCGGTGTCTAACCTCTACTGGAATTTGAACTCGGCACGGAGAATCAACTTTCCGCACCGGGCCCATCCATTATTTGTATCCGTAGAAGTAAGCATCCGATTATCTCGCGAGGTAATGGGAGGATGATGTGTGGTTAAAAAAAAATCATTATGTTTCAGGTGGTGAATCCGAAATGAGCTCTCAAGGGCGCTGGCCCGAGCGATGTTATATGGAGACCGTGTGCTACCCAGCTCATATGACCACACAGCCTCGCCCTAACTCGGTTGAAACGACAAGATCCAACGGAATATACAGCATTATATTAAGGGACTGGCTTGGCTGCAGGAGTTGAAGGAAAATTATCAGTGTTGACAGCAAACCGGACTTCGGGGCTCCACTTTGGATTTTCTTTTTTTTTGGGGGGGAGGTCGCCTTCCTTAGCTTTTTCTGAGTTTTGGACATGGCCCAAAGGTAGCGAGGGTTTAAAATCACGTTTTCCATCCCATTACACCCACTAGACACTCTGTGTTATCCTAAATGTCTAATTGTTATGGTCCGGTTCCTTGTACCACGGTGATAGTCCAAGGTAGAACCCATAAAGAAGAACTCGAACACGGATATGGAATAACACAGATATATTACAAACAGGGATATATACAGAGAAGTAGAAAGTGTTAGTACGAACAATCAGGTTTAGTAGGGAGAACAATGTAGTCTCGACCAGTATCACTATTCCAATGTCTTGTAGTAATTGTTTGAACGCGACTCTGTTTCGCACTGCCTCTGACTCGACTGACTGACTTGCTCTGACTGACTGACAGACTCCTGACGGACTTCACTCCAGACTTCAGGCTGAAAAGTATTTAGTCACCCACCCCACGAGGGTATCATGTGGCACAAGGCCGGTTTAACGTGAGATCTCCGAGCCCGTGGGATCTCCGAGCCCGTGGGCTCGGCCAAAAATATGCCCTTTGAACCCGTATAAACGGGTTCAGGGTCGGTTTACCCCCGGAAAGAGACTCCGCCCTTCGACGTAGCCTCGTTCGGGTTCCTCCCCGCCCGAAGGCAGAGAGTTCAACCGATCAGCCGGTCACCCGGTCGCCCAACTTCGGACTGAACTCCCTGCTTCCTCTTGAGGCACAGTATTTATTACGTATGGAATAGTCCATTATGTTATTATGGGTAAGGTCCCATAACATTAATGCTTAGGATCGAGCTAAGAGTTGGCGAGAATAAGGATTTTAAAAAACATAACTATCCATGGATTCCTTTTATTTATTATCTATGAATTGGCATGGCTTCTTGGTGAAGATTGTGAAGTGTCATAGTACTGTGTTTCTCATAGACTGGCTGCCAACCAAAGATGTAGCCACCATTGTACCCTACTATACGTTAACTTAACAACGGTATTGTATTTTATGCTGTTGGTCTAATTATATAAGCAATTATTTCTATCTATCTATCTATCTATCTATCTATCTATCTATCTCTTTCTTGTGGGAACTGTACAATCATGACCCCCGTCCTGGGTATGACGATAAACTACATCCGCGTCCTGGGTAAGACGATAAACTACATCCGACAGCAAGGCCTCTGATCAGGAGGTTTTGAGAAGCGTGGAACTACCTCTTAATTGCGGGTTTTCTCAGGTCCACCCTGACCTGGTGTGGCAGTACCTGTTAAGGTCCCAAATATGGGCAAATAGTTAACTCCCAAACAGGGGTCAAAACACTATGAAAGTTTAAAAATAGGTTTTAATACCAGGAATAAATTTTCTGAAGGAAAAATTATTACCAGCAATACATTATTACCAGCAATATATTTTTGAAGAAAGTAAATATTACCAGCAATGTATTTTTGAGGAAAATTATTTCCAGCAATACATTTTGAGGAAAATATTACCAGCAGTACAACGCCCTGTCGGCTGGGGTTTCCGAAATCGACGATTGCACCTCTGCAAAGGGGTAAGACCCCTCGCCTCAAATGAGGCGTCCCGGTGAAGACGATAAACTACATCCGCATCCTGGGTAAGTCGATAAACAACATCTAACAGCAAGGCGTCTGATCAGAAGGTTTTGAGGAGCGCGGAAGCACCTCTTAATTGCTGGTGTTCCCAGGTCCACCCACACCCGGTGTGGTAGCATCTGTTAAGGTCCTCCCTATGGGCAAATAGTTAACTCCCAAACTATGGTCAAAACACTATGAAAGCGTAAAAATAGGTTTTAGTACCAGCAATACATTTTTGTAAGTAATTATTACGGGCAATGAATTTTTGAAGAAAAATTATGACCAAGAACCTGTATATGAATGATATGACCCCTGCTTATAAATTCCAGTTGCATAAGGTCTTTTTAATCTTTTATAAGCTTTCGTCTGTTCCTACAGACATCCTCAGGTATAGGGGTTAGTGTATCTTATTGAAATTGTTTGCGAAGATGTATTCTCGCCATTTAAATCATTAACCTCTATATAATTTTTTTTGTATTAATGATTCATGTAATTATAAATTAAAATTGCACCTATAATTGAAATATATATATATATATATATATATATATATATATATATATCTTATGAATTGGACAATGTCCGACAATTATTTTAAGACATTTTTATGTTTATACATTCTTTTTATAGATACAAATATTTAAGTAAATGCTCTGTTTATAATAAACAGTATTAAACAACATTTATCTATAAAAAGAATGTATAAACATAAAAATGTCTTAAAATAATTGTCAGACTTTGTCCATTTCATAATGTGTGACGTCATTTGTTTACATTTGATACGCCATGAGCAGATATGAATATACGTGAGAGATTCATGGAAGATTGAAGTTTAAAGACAGTAAATTCGACCTTGCTAACCGAACGCTCCTCTGTGGCCAAATCGGTTAAAGGCACGTCAAGTTACATGACGGTTCCATATAGGATACAGGTTCGAACCCTGTCGGAGGACGAATGTTTTCTGTGATAATTTCTGGGACATTCAGGCCGGTAAATGTTGTTTAATACTGTTTATTATAAAACAGAGCATTTACTTAAATATTTGTATCTATAAAAAGAATGTATAAACATAAAATTGTCTTTATATATTGAAAAACTGTCTTGTTTCTCCAACTCTGGAGAGGCTTAGATTATTTTGAACGACCCTCGTATTATTATGAGTGGACGTTCCTGTTGGAAGGTTCCGTGCCTTGGGTGTCTATTGGGACTTAACCGAGACCTCAAGTGGAACTCGTACATATGATACGTATTTAAATATTCTGGTAAAATGGTCGGTTCCCCGTACCGCTCCAGCAAGTACCTGACTCCTGAGGACCTCTAAATTTACAAGAGTTAGATCAGGCCGAAAATGGAGTATTGCTGCCATATATGGGCAGGAGCTGCTCGGTCTTCACATTCCATTGTCTATGAAGTCTAATAGCGTCTGTGCGTACTTCTAGGCGACGAAAGATTTTCCACTCTGAATCCTCTCTCTCACAGACAAGATATCTCAAGGCTCTCACTGCTTTATCGCTATTTCCATGGTGAATGTTCAGATGAACTACATTCCTTAGTTCCACTTGTCCTAACCTTCACGGCTCAGACCCGCCATTTTGTTAAAAAACCACCCTCATTTCATTCGTATTTCCATAGCGAGATGCTGTTTCTTCCCACGAACCATTGCCTTGTGGAACCGTCTCCCAAGAAGTTCATTCCCTGATCACCACAAATTTAACCTGTCTAAGACTAGGGTTAACCGTTATCGTCCACACATATCCACATAAACTGTGTCTTTTACTCCCTAAGCCTCTAACTCGCGTGGCCATTGTAACATAATACTGCCTTTTGTATAATCGAATCATCGGAGACTCAACCCATTCCCTCATCAGGTTTTTCGGCGAAGAAGTTTGCCAGATAACAGCAGGATTAAAAGCAAGATCTGTCAAAAGACAGATTGCATGTCGACGGCTATCTCACATGATGTGTTAGACTGAACTCCATAGCTATGTATCCAGCCAATGCTAAGATGACACGTCATCACTTGACGAAGTGTTTCCCATCCTTAGGTCAACAGCCAGAGCAGAGTGTTCGACGACCACGTGTCAGTGGCCAGGGTGAGCCTTCAAGTTGGGGGATCAGCTGTAAATTTGACATGGGAAAGGATTGGCTGTGCCAGATCAACTTGCCTAATACACGCTACCCTTGAATGAATATCTCCCCACCACCGGCTTTCAGCCCAAATATTGAGAGATCAGTTGTTCAATTACGCAGCGACCCTACGACCACACCTGCTATAATAAGACTGATGATAAGGATGATGATAATGATGATGATGATTAAGATGAAACAAAAGGAGAAAATGACAAAAGAATGAATGCAGAAAGACTGTGATGCTATAATTTTTTTAACTTGGATAGGACCTTAAGAATACGCATTTTAAGATAACTTTCAGGGTTACATATTTGTTAGTTTCGACTTACCTTAGCTAAAAAACCGTAGAAGTCATCTTTGACGTAGCTAATAGGTTCATTGACTTCAGCGTCCATTTCCCAATCCAGGTCAATGGTTGGCAATGTGGATGTTGGCGGAAGATCTCCAGATTCAAAGCTGATCGTCCCATTGTCCACCTCTTCAAATTTCTCGGCCATAGCGGACTGCCACGATTTTTTTCGACTGAGTCAAAAGCCAACTTCGTCAGCATGTGGAAAAATGGACGATATCTTCACAGGTGGGTCTCTGCTGGCAAAAGCTGGGAAAAGAAAAACAATTATTATTATTTTAACACGTTTGAAAAGAACGTCCTGGGTATGACGATAAACTACATCCGCGTCCAGGGTAACACGATAAACTACGTCCAACAGCAAGGCCTCTGATCAGGTTTGGTTTGGTTTGTTTTGTTTTACGGCATATCAACCTCAATGGGTCATTTAATGCCGACAAATTTTTTCGGATAGATTCGTATGAATAGAATATGCTTTCTTTGGTTTAGATTGGTTTGGTTTATTTTGTTTTACGGCATATCAACCTTAATGGGTTATTTAATGCCAACAACTTTTTTTTCCTGGTAATATTTTTGTTTCGTCAAAAATCTTTTTCTGTTAATATAATTTTCCTCAAAAATGTACAGCTGGTAATATTATTTTTTCAAAAACGTATAGCCAGCAACACTATTGTTTCAAAAACGTATAGCTGGTAATATCATTTTTTTCAAAAACGTACAGCTGGCAACATTATTTTTTCCGAAAACCTATTATCAGAGGCTTTATTATTAGACGTTTTATTCCTTGTTGTGGTACACGGTGACGTTTCGTTGGCCCTTTCTTTCTCTCGTTTGACCCCAGCTCCAACATCGGCCTTGCCTTCATTTTAAACGGGATCAGCAGTACACGTCTTCACTGTCAAAAGAAGGTCAGCAAAAATCAGCAGCAACCATCAAAATAATAAGATGCTATTTAATTCAACATCCTACGACACATCGACAATTTCAAACATTCACAAGAACTACCAAGACATCTGTCTATATTTCTGAGATGAGAGATTGTAACTATTTACATTGTTCGAACTGTTGTCCGCATCTATATTACCATATTCAAAAGCATGACACGTGGAATTAGAACAATCTACCCTCCCCCCCCCGAAAACTAAATATAGTTTTCAGTCGCAATTCCAACAAATATCACCTGAAGAAGCCAAAAGTGAGTTCCACAAGAAAGAATTGCAAGTGAAGAAACTATTCTTTTTTTTTTTAAAGCGTTTCACCCCAAGCAAGGCGAGAAGCCACTAGGACGCAAGGGGTTACAGAAGATTTAGAGCAAGATCAGATAGGAGTGATAGAGGAAAGGATGAGGAGTGTGATAGTGGATAGATCAAGGCAACTGGAGATGTCTTGATCTATCCACAATCCTTCTCCTTAGTTTAAAATTGATGGTCACATCTAGCTATTTCAATTGATGATGAGACCTTGCCGCCAGTCTAGTAGTGTTTAAATTCGTAAAGTCCCGATATCAAAGAGAAAAAGTCCATCCAAACAATTACTATGAAAATGTTAATTGTAAAACCACAGGGATCCTACGGTAGAACGGTAAGAAAGTGAGAGATGACAGGTTAGAAGCGAACACATTGCGAATTCCTTTTTAGATTTTAGCACCCAACTAGATATGACAGGGTCGGGATTCAAAACATTTAACACAAAAAACACATCTTTTAAATGAAATATAAACAGGTTATTTTCTGAAGCAAAAGTAGAAGCAGAAAGTCAGTTGGAATATATATATATATATATATATATATATATATATATATATATATATATATATATATATTAAGAAATGGACAAAGTCCGACAATTTATTTATTAAAAGACATTTTTATGTTTAACGTTCTTTTTATAGATACAAGTATTTAAGTAAATGCTCTGTTTATAATAAACAGTATTAAATAACATTTACCGGCCTGAATGTCCGAGAAATATTCATAGAAAATATTCGTTATGAATGTACGAGATTCATGGAAGATTGAAGTTTATAAGCACTAAATTCGATCC